AGACACTTTTGTCTTTACAAAACAAATGTGTACCTTATCGCAAAAGGAGCAAATGCTGATAAGCAACATAATGTTAATAATCAGCCCATGTTTTGTGCTTGTTATATATATGTGCATGTCGGGCAGAGCAATCTCCCCTCGCCCTGCCACCCACACTGTTGAGCAAAAGTCTCCACATTTCTTTCAGTTTTTGTCTAGGTTGGGCAGCAGAAATTCAAGCCTGATTTGATACATTAGCAGGAAGCTGTATCAAAAGCAGAGTAAGTCAGGACGCTGATATGGAATGCAGGAGCCCCAAGCACAGCTCACCTGCTGTGCCCCAGCCCTTGCACAATTTTTCCAGTGCAATTCAAAGCTCTTTTAGGACGAGTTTCAGTGGCTGCTTATCATCCTGTACTAGAGCTAGTGCCAGAGCGTATGGGTGTCAAGTGAAGGCTAGCCCACTCCCTCCTGGGGCCCCACAGGGATTCCCTATAGTTTTCCTAGAGTGTAGGAGTGACAGTCAGTTGCTTTCTTCTAGAAGCCAGGGTGTAGGAGAACTGAACAAAAGGAGGGCAAAAAGATGGTTATTTTGTGGTAGAAGGTATGGGGAGGAAGAGACAAGCAGTTGAAACAAAGGCCACAAGTTGAGGGAGAGAAGAGGAAGGACCCCAGATGCATGGAGGGGGAAAGAGCTGCCACTGATTGGCAGGGGAAGGAAGATAGAAAGGGAGGGCCACATTTTAGGTCAAAGCTCACGGACTCCCCAAACCCCCGGCCAGGGCCTGAGGGCAAGGACCTGGAAGAAAGGGAGGTTTCAGGAGAGGAGGGGACGGCAGCTGTTGGGATCCTCTGACTGGAGGGGAAACGCAGGGAGGTTCTGCAGACTGGGCTGGGTGTGGCAGTGGGGAAGAGAAGGGCTGTAGAAGCCTGGAGGGCGGTATGGAGGGTGTGGGACCCATGGGGCTGCAGAGCCGCCCTGTGCTGGATGAGGCCAGCTGAGTCCACACCCCAGATCCCACCTAGGGCAGACTGAGCCAGAAAAAAAAACCCTACTGAGGAATCTCATCCAGTATGCAGTCTCAGGATTACATTGTATTCTTACCATGGGTATTTTTGTCTAAATATTTCATGTGAAACTATTTTCATGCATTTTTTTATTTGGAAGCTTTGTGGCTTGCCTGCTGAGTCTCTCTGTAAGCCGACAGGGTAGGGGGCTTCGGACAATAATGTGACATAGCACGTTAAGCTGCTTGCGATGCTGGCTGTCCCTATTGGAATACTGGTTTGAGTTTCAGCTGCACTAGTTTCCTATTCTGTTCCCTGATAATGCTCATAGGAAAGCAGGGGGAGATAGCACAAGTGCCTGGGCCCCTGCCACCCATGTGGCGAACCCACTTTGATGGAAATCCAGGCTCCTATCTTTTCCCTGGTTCAATCCCACGGTCACTGTGGCCATTTGAGGAGTGAGCCAGCGAAAAGACGATCTCTCTCTCCTTCCATAACCCTGCCTCACTGCCTTTCAAATACATGAATCTTAAGCAAACAAATGCTGGCATGAAGTGTGTTGCACTGGCAGAGAACTCTGTGTTGCACTTTGGGGATGAACTCTTGGTTCTCTGGTTAACCCTCCTTTTTTGGCAGCAGGAGACTCATCATGGGGGAGTAGGAGTGGGTTTTTGTTGTGGTTGAGGTTGTAGCTGTAGGCACGTCAGTGTTTGCAGTAAACTTCAGATAAGAGATGAACCAAAAATGCCAGACAAGAGCTTGTCCTCACCTTTGAGTGGCTATGACTCCCTAACTTTTGGGCTGAGCTCAGGGAAGACCCCTTTACTCAGTGTCAGCTCTACAGATATTATTATTTATTGAACTGTTCATTTTAGAGAAGTTCTGATTCATGGTGAAACTGGGCAGCTAGTACAGAGTGTTTACCTTTTCCTCTCACCTTGATCGTGCACCATGAACATCTTGCCTTTTCATGGCGCAGCCGTTAAAGTCAGTGAGTCAGGATTACACATTATTAGCAGTTCAAGTGCATGCTGCATGCCAGATTTGCCTAGTTTTTTCTTACTGCCTTTCTTCAATTCCAGGATCCTGCCCATCCTACCACATCACATGCCCATCACATCTCGTCAAGGACACTCAATGTCAGTGCACCATCGACTCTATCATTCTGGGTCCTGTTGTTGCTCACCTGGCTGTTTGCCAGGATTCTCAACTATTAACACGATGGGTTTTGTCTTTGTTTCTTCCTCTTTTTCCCTCTGTCTTCTTTGGAAGGGAGTTACTGTGAACACAGTGAGAGTTCCTGCTGCGGGCTCCGGGAAGTGGGTATCCGCATCTTTTCTTGGGACTTCTGCACCAGAGATTTACCTGCTATCCCCCATTTATTTATGCATCATCTCCTTATATTGCTGGGAATTTCTAGAAATGTCATTTACCCTTTGTGTTATAATCCAACACCACTTGCATTTGTGGCTCAACTCGTTCCAGGCTGATGCCTGGAACCTGGACCGTGGGAAATCCTTTTCAGTTGGCTCCTGTGTCCGACTGAAGTTCCTCCACCTTCCTGTTTGGCACAACCTCACTTTCTGGACACAACTTGCCCCAGGCTTGTCTGGTACAGCCCCTACCCTGGTCCTAGGCTCTCTCATGTCTATTGAGACCATTAGCACCAGAGTTTTGATCCTGGCAAATGTGGATCTGCAAGTTGTGTGAGAGGGGGCAGGAGTGCAACCCAGCCCACCCTTAAGGTGAGCCCTTTCCCAGCAGTCACAGCCAGAACTGTCATCTTGGGCTGAGAAACTGGTGACTCACTGACTCCCCAGGTTGTCCCCTCCCTCCCCGCTGCTGCTGATGAGACCGTCCCTAAACCAGCTCACACTGGAGGGACTGAGGTCACAAGTGTCCCCGCCCTGCCACAGAAGAATGGCTGTCTCAGGCGAAGAAGTCAGGACTTCATCCCCATGCCCAGCACACGTCTCTCCATGTTTACATCCAGCTATTACTAGACACACACTGCAGGAAGGACTAAACAGAGTTATCCTTAAACTTTTAGCTACGGTAAAGCTAGCATTGACACACAGGTAGAAGGACAAGAGCATTGTAGAGATGTGAGAGAGAGAGAGAGATTCTGTGCCAGCAGCATCACCAGGGCTTGCAGAGATCAGCATGGCTCACCTGTCATGGTACAGCATGGAGAGGGAGGCAGTGATTTGCAGGAGGTATACTGCAGGTGAGCTGAGCAGTTGGTCTCTGGTTCTACTGGTCTTTTACATCCCTCTCTCTCTTCCAGGCAAGCCCCAGGAACAACTTTTGGGCATGCTGGAGGAAGGCTACAATGTGAAGACAACACTTGAGACCTTATCTCTTGCTGGAAAGACAGATGAATGTCTGAGAAGTCTTAAGGGCTTGTGGGTTACAGTTAGGAATTAATACCATTCCCTAATATTCGGTCACAAATGGGATGTAGATGTAGGATGTAAAGCAGACAGAGAGAATCCTACCATTTCCCCAAGGTCAGGATTTTAACAGTTAAGTCACAACTTTCTAGCTGCTCTCTCTCTCTTTTAAAAAGATTTTATTTTCTTGAACGGCAGTTACACACACACACACACACACACACACACACACACACACACACCCCTTCCATCTGCTGGTCCAGTTCTCAAATGGCTAAAATGGCCAGGTTGAGCCAGACAGAAGCCAGTAGCTTCAGCCAGGTCTTCCATGTGGATGCAGGGACCCAAGCACTTGGGCCACCCTCCCAGGCACATTAGCAGGGAGCTGCATTGACTATGACACAGCCCCCGTCTTCTTTGGACTCAACAGATAAAGGGATAAAAGGAGAGGGGAAAGGAAGAGAAGGGAAGGGAAAGGAAAAGAAGGGAGGGGAAAAGGAAGGGAGGGGAAAGAGAAGGGGAGGGGAGGGAAGGGAAGGAGAGGGGAGAGAAAGAGAGAAGGGAAGGGGAGGGAAGAGAGGAAGACAGGCACAGCTCTTCAGACTTGGGTTGTGGATTTTCCTGCTACCAAGTCTTTGAGAAATAAGACTGTTGCCTTTCTTCACATCCATCACCTCACTTCCCCACCCTCTCTGAGGCTGACTCCCTGGGCCTGGGTCCTCCCAGGATCTCCGTGTTGGCAAACTGCCTTGGGGCCCAGGGAAAGGATTCCCACCTGGTGTCACCAGTGTGGCTGCAATAAACAGCCGAGATTAGCATCTCGGGTTCTGGCTTGCTCTCTGGATGACCTTTCTGTCTTGTCTTACTCTGCAAACTCCTTCCAGGGCAAGGACAGTGGGTGGCCCCGGCCAGCAAGCATCTGCAGGTGGCTATTAAATACTTCAGATGGTGACCGAGATAATTGTGGCTATTGCTGGGATTTACACAGCAGCCAAATAGTGACCTGGCCTCCAAAATCCTCCCCAGCTGGCTTCCCACTTCCTTCAGTGAGTGGAGCCAAGATATTGAGGCTGGTTTCCGGGGGTCTCCCAGCTGTGGCTCTTCTGCCAAAGCTAGGCGACTCTACAGCCCACAGCCACCTGCTGTGTTCCCAGCAACTCAGATTTCTGTGTTATTTCAACACATTCCTGTAGTCACAAAATTACCCCCATCCTGACTTTTAAACACTCGTGCAAACAGACGTATGGCGTATGGCTTTTTTGTCCTAATTTGGAGAACGTTTAATCGGAACATGTGTTTGAAATTTGCACCTGCTCAATGACGTGTTCTGTAGCGGGCTTCCTCTTGCTCACAATACATTGCCGCCGTCCATCTCCAGCAAGCAAGATGCCCAGAGCTCGGTGTCGTCATTTGGCGAGGTTTTTTGTCCTCGTACCTGACTGGGTGCCCTGAGCGTCAGCTCTCCGCCTCCTTTCCTCCCCGGGCCTCCTTAGGGCGCGCGGCCAGGGGAGGTCCCGGCAGGTGGGCGGCGCCCGGGGCCGCCGGGGCCATGCAGATGAGGTGGGCGGGTCCTACTTATAGCCTCGGGTCAGCGACGGGCGGGCGAGCGAGCCAGTGCGTCCAGGACCGGCTCGGTCAGAGGCAGGTCCAGCATAAGCTCCTTCCCCGAGCGCCGCGGAGCCTGGTCCCGGGCTGGCCCCTCTGCTGCCCCCGGAGCGGGCCATGCCGCCGCGGGAGCTGAGCGAGGCCGAGCCGCCCCCTCTCCGGGCCCCGACCCCTCCTCCGCGGCGGCGCAGCGTGACCCCCGAGCTGGGCATCAAGTGTGTGCTGGTGGGCGACGGTGCGGTGGGCAAAAGTAGCCTCATTGTCAGCTACACCTGCAATGGGTACCCCGCGCGCTACCGACCCACGGCGCTGGACACCTTCTCCGGTACGTTCAATGACGCTGGGGCTGCGCGGCTTCACAGGGGGCGAGAGGGCGTAGCAGACCCCAGGGAAGGAGGAGGAGAACGGCGGGGAGCGGGTCCCGGGGTGGCGCTGCTGAGACCTGGCGGAGCCCAGGGCGTTCTCCCTAACTCGGGCTTTCCCCGCCCCGCCCCTGCAGTGCAAGTCCTGGTGGATGGCTCCCCGGTGCGCATTGAGCTCTGGGACACGGCGGGACAGGTGAGAAGCTGGACGCAGCCTCTGCTAGTAGTCTAGGGCAAGGGAGTGGCAGTGGGGGAGGTGGGCTATCGGATGGAGAACCCCATGGAGGAGCAGGAAGGGAGGAGGCTGGGGTCTGCAGTGCCACTGAAGAAGCCGAATGCTGCTGCTGCTGTGTGGCAGGGAGATTCACCCGAGCCTTCCCGCCCTAGGAGGACTTTGATCGGCTGCGCTCGCTCTGCTACCCGGACACCGACGTCTTCCTGGCCTGCTTCAGCGTGGTGCAGCCCAGCTCCTTCCAGAACATTGCCGAAAAATGGCTGCCGGAAATCCGCACTCACAACCCGCAGGCACCCGTGTTGCTGGTGGGAACCCAGGCTGACCTGAGGGACGATGTCAATGTACTGATTGAGCTGGACCAGGGTGGCCGCGAGGGACCTGTCCCCCAGCCGCAGGCTCAGGGCCTGGCTGAGAAGATCCGGGCCTGCTGCTACCTCGAGTGCTCGGCCTTGACCCAGAAGAACCTGAAGGAGGTGTTCGACTCGGCCATCCTCAGTGCCATTGAACACAAGGCCCGGCTGGAGAAGAAGCTCAACGCCAAGGGCGTCCGCACCCTGTCCCGCTGCCGCTGGAAGAAGTTCTTCTGCTTTGTATGAGAAGCCCATTCTACCCGCTAGCCCCCTGTCCAGAGGGGGGAGCAGTGTGTGTAGCCAGTGGTCCACAGGAGGCCAGAGACTTCTGGAACCTGGGGCCTGGCTGCCCCGTGGGACTTAATTACCTGGTGGACACTGTGGGGACCTGGGCCTCAAGCTGCTCACTCTGCTAAGCCAGGGTGCTCCTGAGGCCTTGCAGTGGGCAAGCGGTTCCCCTAGAAGAAGCCAGCCCTTGGATTTGCATGGGATGCTACCTGCACTGTCAGCCACCCCGGCTGAGCAGTCTGGCATCCAGTTCCCAATTTTGTACACACATAGGCTTGCCGGTCAGCCTAGCTGAATTAGGACCCCTGTCCCAGACCCTGCTGGACCCAGGGGTGAGGAAGAACCTGGCGCCAGCTGGCTGAACGGCTTGGAGGGCTGGAAGGACTGACAGACACGTTGGGATGGAATGGGTGAAGCAAAGGCTGGTGAGGGATGGAGAGATGGAGCACCGGGAAGACGAAGCCTGGAGGTGTGGGGCTGGAGGCTGGGCCTGAGGGCCAGGGCTGGAAGGAGGAAGGCGAGGAGGGGGGGAACAGGAGCGCAGGCTGACACCTGGGCTGCCCTCAGCCCTTCAGGCCAGGGAGGGCGGGGCTGGCCCTGGGAAGATCTGGGTCTTAGGGCTCCCCAGGCACTGCCCAAACTGGCTGGGCCAGGAGCTGGGGCAGGAAGTGAGAGTACTGGCTCAGGCCGAGGAAGGGGGAGGAGCTGCAGATGAGAGCCTGGGGGAGGGTGGGGTGGGGGTCACCCTTCTCGCTAAGGTCACAGCCAGAAAGGGAGAGCACTGCAGGGTCTGCAAATAAAACCTTGAGTTTCTGAACCCGCTGCCCGCTGTCCGTCATTTCCAGATGTGCCCTCTTGTACTTTGCCGGGGTCCCATGGCCTGGGTAGAAAGATGGGTGGGACACCAGAGCACTGAGGCCCAGTGAAAGGGTGGGGTCTGGACGGGGTGGGACTGGTGTGATGGGAACTTCCTTGGTGGGGAGGGGGGTGGTGTGGGGCTCCCTGCTCACTCGGGGCTTAGCCGGTTCCCAGGAGAGCAGCGTGGGAAGCAGCCCAGGAACGGGTTTCCCCAGGTGTCAGCGCCAGAGCTGCTTTCCCATGACCTCACCAGGTAGGTGGGGCTCGTGCCCTCTTGCTCTCGCTCAGCATCAGCTGGCACAATCCCGAACCCTCGGCTCCTTCTGCCCCAATCCTTCTGACATTGCACAGGGCCTAGGGGCTCCTATAGGAGGGCCCTCCCTCCAATTCTTAACTTAAACACAAAGGAAACCCCCCAAAACCGCCTTAAACCTCAGCCCACTGGCCACAGCCCTTGCCCTTGGCTTGATGAGCTGTGCCAAATGGCAGCCTTGCGAGGGTGGCCCAGTGGTGGCGAAGGGAACCATGAGTTTTGTCCCAGAAGTCCTGCACAAATGCAAATTCATTGGGGGAGGGGCAGATGGGCAGACGACACGACCAAGAGTTGCAGATGGAAGGAATGTTTGAGCTCACGCAACTTGGGCGAAAATAAACACAGCTTTACCGTAAGGAAGCGAGCCCCAAGAAAAAGAGCGGGCGCTCAGGTGAGAGCTGGCAGTGCTTTGCCCGGCTATGAGTCCTGCCCAGTGTTATTGCTGAGGCACACCTGGGACACCTGTGCCGACATTGCTGGACCAGGTGAGCTCTCGGGCCCATCCCAGTGCACTGGGCCCTGCTCCCTCAGCTGGATCCAACAGTGGTGTGGAGTGTGTGTGTGTGTCTGTCTAAGAGTATGGCCAAGAGACAGAAACCATAGCCAAGTGAAACTTCAGATAATCCCCAAGATTGTCTGCCTCCTGCTCCGCCAGGGCCTGCCTCCACAGAGCCCTTGCCACCTCACCTGCTTGGTGCCCATGCCCTGCTGAGCTTCCCCAGAATGGCCAGGTCCCTGGAGGTCTCTCCATGAAGTGCCATGACCAGCTGGATACTTGAACCTGGGCTGACTCATTCCCCTGAGGGGCTGAGATCCAGATTCAAGTTCAAGACCTGATACCATCCATGACCTTTAGGCAAAAATCATTTCCTTTCTTGGTGCTTCAGTTTCTCGGCTTGAAAATTGAGACTTAGGACTCTGGACTGGGTTAGAAGCTTCCAGTCTGTTCCCAGGGCCTTGGAGGAGGGAGACCTGACCAGGGAAACTCTGCTCCCCCGGTTCAATTCCCTTAGGGTACCAGGGCATCCCTGTCGCTCCAAGAGAAACTTTGGTCATCACTTTGCCTCTCCTGCTGGATCATTGAGCCTGGCAAGGCAGCTTACCCCACCCATCCTGTGTGCTGTTCTTCCCCCAACCCTTCCTTGGCTCCAGACTGCCCCCCAATTCTCGATGTTTAGGAACAGCTCTCAGCTCTGTGGTTCAGTGTCCAAGGCCTTTTTGCACCTGACACCAGCCTGCCTGCTGACTTAGGCCTGAGTATCTCCTGCCTTGCTCCCTCCAAGGCCTGGTCTTCCCCACAGTCCCTGCTTTTGGAAGCTGACCCAGCTGCCCCCTGTAGCTCCTGCTTTGTCTCCTGCCACGTTGCTCTTGGCTCCACTAGTGCCCTCACGGCTCCCTAGGCACCCGGCACATGGAGCCCAGCTACAGGCTCCAGCTACATGGAACACAGAGATTTATTTATTCTTATTGGAAAGTCAGATTTACAGACAGAGACAGAGAGGAAGAACTTCTGACCGCTGATTCACTCCCCAAGTGACTGCAATGGCTGCAGCTGAGCCCATAAGAAGCCAGTAACTAGGAGCCTCTTCTGGGTCTCCCATGTGGATGCAGGATCCTAAAGCCTTTGGCCGTCCTCGATTGCTTTCCCAGGTCACAAGCAGGGAGCTGGATTGGAAGTGGAGTAGCCAAGATACAAACTGGTGCCATGTGAGATCCAGGTGCGTGTAAGGAAAGGATTTTAGCTGCTAGGCTACCACACCGGGCCCCTAAATCTACATTTAAAGGAATATTTGTTATATTCATTGGATAAGTTCATGTTGCCTGTGCATATATGCTTACATATGTCTTTATTAATGTAAATTTTTAAAAAATTTAAAACCTCATTCTCTTTTAGTTTGAAAGGTGAACAGGAGTGGGGGAAGGGAGAAAGATACCTTTCATTTGCTGGTTCACTCCCCAGATGATCATAACGGGTGGGACTCAGGCTGGGCCAGGATGAAGCCAAGCTCTGAATGCCATCTTGGTCTTTCACATGTGTGCAGGACCCAAGCACTTGGGCCATCTGCTGCTTCCCCAAGCACATTAGCAAGGAGCTGGATTGGAAGTAGAACAGTCAGGACTCAAACCAGCACCCCTATGGAATGGCTGGCATCAGCACAGGTGGTGGTTTAACTCGCTTTGCCACAAAGTCTGCCCCTTTGAATATTCCTTTAGGTAATTTTTGGTGATCATGTTGCGGATGCGATTTTTAGTATTTTTCATTAAGAATGCTAAAGTGTTCTTTCTTTTTATGATACACTCACCATGAGACAGTAACAGCAAATGAACAAACGTTTGTTTGCTCAGTACTTTATACCTACCTGAATATCCATTGCTACTTCTGCAATTGGGAGTGTTTGGGTTGTTTTCATGTGAAGCCAGGGCCCCGAAGACTGGCCAGCGATGCTTACAGGGGCCCAGGGGTTTCTATGTGACACTGGGCATGACTGGATGTCCAATAAATACTAGATGATGTCAGGAGAGCACCTGCTGGCGTTCAGCTCCTGCCCGTGTCTCTCAGCCTTCGGTGCTGGAGCTGAGTGTTGTCTTATGCAAAACTCTGAGTAACTCGGAGTGTGCACGTGGTTGTGTGGCTGGTGCTGGCGTGTGGGTGTCTCTGTACTCATGCAGTGCACCCTTTCGGTGTGTGTTAGACCCATCCGGGCCCGTGTTCCTGAGTGTGAAGTCCAGATGGTGCCTGCCTGTGTGCACCGAAGCAGGGTCTGGCTTCTCTGGCTCTGTGGGTGCTGGTGCTCGCGTCTGTGTGGATTTGTGTGGGCGTCTGCCATCAGGTGCATCTGTGTGCGCTGGACCTGCACTGGGGGAGAGCAGAAGCGCACGCGCACCTGGCGGAACTGTGTCTTTTCTCCCTTCTCATAACAACGTGGTGCCCAGGGCAGCGGTGCCACACCCTCCCAGAGCTGCCCGTTCTCTTGGGAACCAGCTGGGGAGCGGGGAGGAGACCGAGAGAGCTGACTGCGTCAGGAGCAGCACCAGCCCCTTTTGCAACCATCCCAGCCCCGGAGCGCTAACCACAGAGCACAGGTCAGACCTGCCCACCGAGCCTACTGCCAGTAAACCTGCTCCTGGCAGGGCTGTGGCGGCAGCACCCTCCTTGGACCTGGGCCAGATTCTCCCAGTGAGCGGAACTCAGCGGAGGGACCACATTAGTCACCCTGTGGCAACAGCAGGGCCTGGACACCACCACCTGCTTAGGCAACCCTGGAACATACCCCCGCCCCCCATGACTGCTCCCCCTAGCCAGTGGCTTGGGTGAACTCCAGTTTGCAGTTTGGAGATTGAAGCCCAGAGCCATGCGACCAAACCCTGAGTCCTGGGGTCTGCTGACCCTGGTCCTCATCAGAGGCAGCAGGGGCTAGGGGATGGGGCCTGCCCTTCAGAAAAGACTCTCTCGGAAGGCAGGTGGGAGATACAGCGTGGGGAGCACCTGCTGTGTGTGTGTGTGTGGGGGGGTGTGCATGTGCTGCTGGTCTCCGGCTTTATGTGTCAGGTGTACGCTAGCACTGACCAGTCTGCCCCTCCTCTAACAGGACCTGAAGGAATGTCCCATTATGGAGATGACCGCGGACTTCATTGCTACTCTGGGTACTCTACTAATAAGCTGGACAGTTGTCACTCTGGAAGGTGGGCTCAGCCACCGTCCCCAGCTCCACAGCCTCTCAGACCCCTCCGCTTGCGATGTGTGTCCATTCCCTTGGCAGCTAGGGGCAGCAAAAGGGCTTCTCTGAGGCCCCCTGGGGCTGGCATAGTAGACAGTAGACAGGGTAGAGCATACCAGGGCCTCTGGCTGGTGACAGCATCCCGCTTCTGAGCTGTGCTGGGTATGGTCAGTCTCCACTGCTGCTCATGGTGCCTCCCAGCCCCGGGCCCTGTGCCAGCCAGCACAGCCTGCTCCCCACCCTGACTCCTGTGACTGGGGAGTTTATCCCTGCACCCCCACATCCTGGCCAACAAGCCTTGTGCTCTGTGGCTCCCATGCCAAGGAGTCTTGCAGACTCAGCCTTAGCTTCCAGCCTCATGCTGACCTGGTCAGTGGCTCTGGGCAAATTGCTACTCCCCGAGCTGTGAAGTGGGGTGACCCTCTCCACCCCTTTTCTGGCTCCCACGGGACCTGGCAGGAGACAGGAGCCAGCCAGGAAGCCATGGAGAGCCAAGAGAGAGGTACCGTGCTGGTCCGTGTTTGTGTGGGTGTGGCCTTTGTTTCCCAGCCTGCTGGGGCCCAGGCCAGCTCCGACAGCTTCTTGGCTCACCGTGCCTTTGTTCCACTTCCAGAGAAAGGACAGAAACCCAAGTTAGAAGCCCGGTCACCTGCAGCAGGTAAGACTCGCCACTCCCGGAGTTTGGGCTCAGGGAGGTTGGCTTCCCGGCTAGGCTTGTGTTCCCTAGCCTGTGACTGTGTGACCCTTCTCAGGGCCTCCTCTCTGGCTCTGACAGCCTCCGCTAGCTGGGGCCTGTCTACTGAGAC